CTCCCCACGGAGCAGGGAGCCCGATGCGGGGCTCGATCCCAGGACCCTGGGATCATGACCTGAGCCGAAGGCAGATGCTTAACAACTGAGCCACCCAGGCGCCCCAAGAAATAGACTTTTTAAAAAATTTTTATTTATTTATTTGATAGAGAGAGAGACAGCGAGAGAGGAAACACAAGCGGGGGGAGTGGGAGAGGGAGAAGCAGGCTTCCCGCGGAGCAGGGAGTCCGACGCAGGGCTCGATCCAGGACCCTGGGATCATGACCTGAGCCGAAGGCAGATGCCTAATGACTGAGCCATCCAGGCGACCCAATCCAACCCTTTTAAACAGGACTCAAGCTCAAGATTCATCCTCCTGGTCCTGCCTTCTCCCTGTGCCAAGCCTGGTGTCTACTGAGCACTTACTTGGTGCAAAATACCATGCTGGAAATGCTCTCCACCCTGATTGGGATGGCAGTGCTTAGACAGGTATATATGTTTTCTGATGTTCATCAAATTATATGTTTAGATACCTCAATTTAAAAATACCTCAATTTGAGGGCCCCTGGGTGGCTCAGTCGGTTGAGCTCCTGACTCTTGATCTCAGCTCAGGTCTTGATCACAGTCGTGAGTTCAAGCCCTGTGTTGGGCTTCACACTGGGTGTGGAGCTTTCTTAAAAAAAACAAAATAAAAACCTCGATTTGAAAAATGATATTATGCGAGGTGCTTTTCAAATAAATTTTTTTTGCCTCATGAAGCTCATAGTCCAAAGAAGCTATAACACCAAATAATAGCAGATAACATCTAAGTGTGAAGTGAGTAACCCCAAAATAAATGATACAGAAATTGGATAATAAAACTTTACAGAAAAGATAGCACTCGACTTAATTAAGCATTAGGTGTTTAGTAGACTAGAGCAGCAGGGAGAAGAGGAAGACTCTAGGTAAGGACAATAGTGTGAGCAAAGGTGCAGGTGTGGGACTAAAAAGAAATTTGGGGAGACAGTGTGTAGATCAGCTTGGACTTATTTTGAAAAACAGTGAAAAATAATATTGAGAGGGACCCAATTTATTGAGTCTCTTCAATGCCAAGCTAAGAGGTTTACAAAGTACTGTGTGTGCAGCGAGGAACTATCGAAAGTGATTGAGCCAAAGGAGGATGTAATCTGTGTTTTTAAAGGAAATCTACCCCACCTCCTACACACATTCCACTGCAGAATCATTGGTTTATGTGACTTGTGGTTTGAGGTACAGAGTGCTTTTAATCTATCCTCCTTAACAAGGCCTTCTGGGACATGGGTCAAGGAAAAATGTTTCAGCTCTGGGTACTCAGCTTTCCATGCAGCATGGACTTGTTTTCATTTCATTCCAGACCTTTTACTATCTTTACTCTGAGTTCTGTTCCAGTCGTATCTTCACATTTTTTCCTTGACCTGACTTCTCCATAAATCCTTTAAAACGCGCAGTGACTGGTGTCAAGTGCCCTCAGGCTCATCTGCTATTCGAACTGTCTTTTACTAAGGCATTTTTGGTGACAGAAGGAATCAACGCATCTTTATTTTCCTTAACTCTTTTGCTACATTGAATACCTCTGACTTCTCCCTTTTTTAGAATTCTGTTCTTCCTGGGAGCACCTGGGTGGCTCAAATGGTTGAGCGTCTGCCTTCTGCTCAGGTCGTGGTCCCGGGGTCCTGGGATCGAGTCCCACATCAGGCTCCTGACCAAACGGGGAGCCTGCTTCTCCCTCTCCCTCTGCCTCTCCCCCTGCTCATGTACTCTCTCTCTGTGTCTCAAATAAATAAATAAAATCTTAAAAAAAAAAAAAAAGGAATTATCTTCTTCCCTGAATCCATTAAAAACATGACCCTTGTTCTTCTCGTGCTTCGGTGCTTTCTGTCTCTCACTAGTTTTTCTATTTTTTCTAGTTTTTCACATTAAGCCATTCCTCAAGTTTGTCATCATCCTTCCCTTTTTATACCCTTCTGCCAACCATCTTATCCATGCCTACCTCTTTGATTATCTTCCCGGGGCAGGTGGCTCTTGAATGTGCATCTTCCGATGACTGATGGCTGTTTCTGCTCAGAGGCCCATCCAGCAATTCAGCTCAACTTATTCCAGAACAAATCTAAGATTGCCTTCTGGTGACTTCCCTGTTTCTGTGAATGGCATTATTGGGTGACTCTACATCTACTTAATTAAAAATGTACTCCTAAAAACTCTGAAGTAGCCTGTTAATCCCCTTCCCTATATTTCTTGCCAATATTTGGACCTTTTCAGCCAATGAACAGTCTGTCTTATCTCTTTTCCCTATTTTCTCTATTATCCACCAGGTCAAGCCATCATCGCCTCTTATATGGACCATTTAAAATTCCCTAAAGAGGGGCACCTGGGTGCCTCAGTCAGTTAAGCATCTGCCTTCAGGTCATGATCCCAGGGTCTTGGGATCGAGTCCTACATCGGGCTCCCTGCTCAGTGGGGAGCCTGCTTCTCCCTCTGCCTGCTGGTCCCGGTGCTTATGCTGTGTTGCTCTCTGACAAAAAATAAATAGAGTCTTTAAAACAAATTCCCTGAAGAAACTTACTCCCTAAAGAATGCAACCTATCTACTGCTGCCAAAATATTCTTAAGACATTGTGTTAGTCCTCTACTCAACATTGTTCAGTGAGTCCCATTCATTTAAAGAAATAAAGCCAAATGCCTTCCCCCAGCATTTGCAGCTCTTGATACACTGAATCCAACCTTCCCTTCCAAGTTTATATCTCACCACTCTCTTTCCAGTACCTTGTGTCCTGTCCAAACTCAACTACTTGCTGTTTCCTGGACATTTCTCATATTCTCCTAGCTCCATGCTTTTGCTTACGCTGCCTGCCATGATTAGACATGCCAAATGAAACCCCCCCCATCCCACAAGGTCCAGTTCCAATTCATGCCATAGCAGCCACAAATGAGAGAAATGAGCTTTTGCAAGAGATTGGGTAAATCTGCATGTACTTTACACTAAAGTACCTAGAGCAGTGCCTAGTGCAAATTAAGTTTTCAATCAATGAATGTGGGCGTGTCATCTGAATGTAGATAAACTTTCCTTTATGTTTCCAACTGGCTGCCAGCATTTCTCTTAATAGGAATTTTTTTAACCTTTTTTTTTTTTTAAATTACAAGCTTTTTAAAAATATATTTTATTTATTTATTTGACAAAGAGAGACACAGCGAGAGAGGGAACACAAGCAGGGGAGTGGGAGAGGGAGAAGCAGGCTTCCCGTGGAGCAGGGAGCCCGATGTGGGGCTCGATCCCAGGACCCCGGGATCATGACCTGAGCCGAAGGCAGACGCTTAAACTCTGAGCCACCCAGGCACCCCGCTAAAGTCTTCTTGACCATCTCCAATCTAGTTCTCCAAAGACAGAATTACTGTCAACCACGTCATGTAGATGTTCCCCGATCTGTTTCTGTGCATTCATGTCCCTATACGAATAAGTAGTTATGTTCATAAATGGTGAATTATCATATGCTCTGTAATAAGAACGCTGAATTCTAAATTTAAAAACACTTTACATATGGATATAAAATAGTCATAATCGGTAACATTTTTAAATCATTTTAAACATGTAGATATACATAACAGTAATGTTACATGTATTGGGCATTTTATTCCGCCAGTCATTTGGGTGTTTTGGGTGAGTAAATTCTTACAACTATTAGGTAGCTACTATTATCATCATATTCATAGAGATGAAGAACTGTAGACCTATCAAAGTTTGGTAACATACCTAGGGTCCTACTTCCAGCTAAGAAGTGGAAGAACTGGAATTCTGACCTAGGAAGTCTGGCTCCAGAGCTCACACCCTTAAAGGCCCCACTCTTCTGCCCATGATCGCATCCACTGAAGCAGGAAACTGTTAAATGTGCATAGTCCTGTTAAATAATTTAGCGTTTGTGACTATATCTCTTGGTTTCTCCTCCTCTCTGGTGGTAGGGCTCAAGTCTCCCTAACTGCTCACACACTTCTGATGACTGCATGATAGTCGTTGGCCTACTTACTACTCAGCTGTCTAAGTAGAGAGGAAGAGGAGACCAAACTTAAACAATGACTTGTTTATATTCATCTTTGCAATGAGTACAAGCTCCACGGGAATAAAGACCATGTCCTTCTTGCCCATCACCATTTCCCCCATGCCTGGCAAATAGTAAGCAGGCAGCAAATACATGTGGAAATGAGTGGAATTGTACACAATTGACCAGGGAACTTCTGAGTCAGTGTGTTTCCCATTCCAGCAATGGAGGGATAGATGTGGAAGCCATGGGGAGAAAGAAAGGACTGAAGAGAAAGAGCTAATCTGTCTTGTTATTTTTCTTATTTTTATCAAATAAATGCATATGGTAGAAAAGTAAAATAGAAAGGTATATAATGAAAAGCACCGATCCTCTGCTCCACTCCTCCCCACCATCATTCGTTTCCCAGGGGCAATCACTTGAAACTTTTTCTATTTTTAGTTCTTCTAGTTCTTAGCTCCATATCTTTAAATAATGTGTCCATATGATTTCTTCTTAATTAATCAACTTTACACGTTATCATTCTCTTCCCACTAAGCAACACGAGGATTTATGAGTTTATTCTTTAAACCATGAATATGTGGTAGGCCTGGGGTAGTGAGAAATGACCCCAGTTCTAGTGTAAGGATTTGGTAGAGCTCCCTGTGCATAGTTTTATTAAGGCAATTGCCATACTATACCAAAACATCAATTTCCTTGCTCGTTCCCCCATGAGAAGCTGAACAACTTGAGTTGTTCTCAAATTTTGAGTTATATCTCCAATTTTGTAACCCCAGACCTATCAGTGTCTTCCAGATAGCAGGCGGGCTTATTACATTTATTTATCGAATGAATCAATGACTCCTATTGATAAAGTTACTGGGAAACTGATGAGGCATAAAAAAGGGAAGATCGCAGTGACTGATTATCCAAGAAGCAAGTGAACAACTGGTCTCAAGGTTGACTGACCAAATCTTCCTGCCACCCCAAACAGCCAAAGCCTGATATGGCCAGACACCGCACTGAACATGGATAGTCTGCATCTCCAGTGAGGTGAAGTGTTCTCATAATTTCTCGATAAGCAATAATATGAGATGTTTAAATATAGAAGTTATTGTTACAGTCTAGAAGTAATTTTGAGCAATATAAAAATCATAATTAGTACGTTACTAATCATTTAAATTGATCTTTTCAAAAAAGAGTTGGAGGTTTATTCCAGTTTAAACAAATATTTCAAAAACTAATTTTAGTCCCCTCTAACTTTATTATATTCCATAGTCTACAGTCAGAACTTAATAATTACATACCAAGGGCCACCATTAACTATTTTAGAAAAACCCTCTCCAAACTGGACCTTTCTCTATTTCCTATCTCAGTAAATGGCATTTCCATTGACTAACACAAGCCCAAATTTCTTTTCTTTTCTTTACTTTTTTATTTAAAGATTTTATTTTTAGACAATGGCAAGGCATCCGATATCTTGTAGGTCCTCTTTAGCATTATCTTGTAGGTCGTCTTTAGCATATACAAGTTCTTTTGAAACCTCCCTTTTCCTTACTTCCCCCAACTCCTGAGTATATAATCAGCCACTCCTCAAGACCCCAGTGCAGTAGCTCTTTCTGCCTACAAGTCCTGTCCCCATGCTTACATGGGGCTTGAACTCACAACCCCAAAATCAAGAGTCACATGCTCCACCGACTGAACCAGCCAGTTGCCCCCCAAACTTGTTTTATGGACTTCCCTTGTTCCCTACATATACTCAGTGACCAGGCTCTATTGGTTCTATTTTCACCATATTCCATGCACTTGTCCCACTGTAACTCCCTGAATCTAAGCAGGCTCTTGGTCTTTTCCCAATGCCCTTGCAGTAACCTTCTGCTTCAGTCTCCCTCTTTACTTAACCATCCCTCTGCAACATGCTGCCAGAATGGTCTTTCAAAAACACAAATCTGATGGCATTTCTTAAACATACACAAGTTGTTTGATGCTTAAGAGTTCCCTTAGCGTAGAATGACTTCCCCTTCTTTTCCCCCAACTTCTCCTTGGGGCAGGTTATTCTAAATCTTAGCATTAGTTTGACTATTGATCCTGATTTGTTCAGAACAATCCCAATTTCACTTGTTGTCTCACCATATTTACTGATAGCAACCCTTTGGTCATTCTCAGAAGTTCCCCAGCATAAAAGTTTCCTAGAGTTGCTATAACAGATCCCTAATACTACTGACTGGGTGGCTTAAACAACGGAAATTTATTTTCTCACAGTTCTGGAGACTGGAAGTCCAAAATTCAGGTGTTGGCAGATTTGGTTTCTGTTGAAGCCTCTCTCCTTGGCTTGTAGATGGCCACCTTCTTGCTGTATCCCCATATGGACTTTTCTCTGTGGGTGTGCATGCCTGGTGTCTTGCCTTATGCCCTAATCACCTCTTCTTTTATTTTAGAGAGAGGGCAGGTGAGGGAAGGGATAGAAGGAGAGGGAGAGAGAGAATTCTCACGCAGACTCCCAGATGAGCACAGAGCCTGACATGGGGCTTGATCCCAGGACCCTGATACCATGACCTGACCTGAAACCAAGAGTCAGATACTTAACTGACTAAACCACCCAGGCACCCCTAATCTCCTTTTCTTATAATGACACCGATCAGATTAGATTAAGACCCACACTAATGGCCTCATTTTAACTTAATTACCTTTCCAAAGGCCCTATCTCCAAAAATAGTCACATTCTGAGTTAGTAAGGGTTAGGACTTCAACATATGAATTTTAGGCCCCAACACCCAGATTGAACAATATATAAAGTTATAGTACTTAAAATAGGTATTCTGCAGGCCTATTTGGTCATCCTCCTAAAGGAAGATGAGGTGGAAGACAGTGCTAAATGTCAGGGAGGGTGGTAGTATCATGTGTCTCTGGAAATTCCTGACATACCCCAGTAGTCAAAAGATATAGGACTGACAGGATAGGTAACTGCAAAGTTGGTGCTCAGGATCAAACCCCAGGTCTTGGTGGTTAAGTGGAGAGTAGACAAGGACAATGAGTCACAAGGACAGAGATGCAGGAAATGCTGAAATTCAGAGGCTCCCCATGCCCAGCCCTACTTCCGGGTCTACCAGATACACAAGCCAGTCGTGGCAAGTCTCAGTTCCAGGCCTCACTCCACAATGGGATTGATGCTCCTACCATATACTGCCTGCCCCAGTTGATTGATTCTGGCACAAGAGTGAGTCTCAACTCTGGGGAGCAAGAATCAGCATACCCATAAGTTTCTCATAATTCTAGGGTATTCAGGTTCTGTTGAATCACATGGAAATATAAACTGTTAACTTCACTACCACAGAAAGTAATCATTTATATTTCATTAAAATATATCAATGTATAATAATTCTATGAACTAAACTATTGCTTCCAGATTTACTAAAAGTCAAAATATCATTTGAGTGAAGTCATGGTCAGAGAAATGAGAATAATTGTTTTATTCTTTGTAAACTATGACTTTCATCAGTGATATGATTAGGTGCTTTTAAAAATGTTACAATTCGGGGAGAATAACGTTAGGCTTTGACTATTAAAGCCACTATATAACTCAAAGAGTTTTATGTGACTTGGTTAATCAAATGTAACTTAAAGCAATTTTTTTGTCTTTGAATCAGATGTCCAATGGGTTTCCAAAAAAAGAAGACATGGGATTGTTAAACTCACTGAAGAGCAACAAAAAGCTGCTTCATCTCACCTATCCAATTTGGAAAACAAAGGATTAGTTTTCACACAAAACAAATTCATTAATATAAAATGAAAAGTATTTCCCATCAACATGTCCTCTTTCTTTCAAATGTGCTAAGTATTATTTCATTTTATATAATACATCTCTGTCACTGATATGTCTTTCTTTTATCTCTATATAACAGAATATTGTATTTCATTGTATTTAGTTTTTCAAATGACTTTTCAAGAACGAAACTCTCTACTGTCACTTCACCACAGGGAGAGGATTAATTTAAGTCTTAAAGTGTTTACTCTGAACTCAACTACCATGGGTGGTAAAGGCTATTTGGACATCCTTATGTGTAATCCAGGCACATGGACAAATGATGGAAAGGAACTGGCAGCTAGAGATATGTTTTACCTTCAGTGACCCAACTGCTTTCGATACAGGGCTTTGATATCCATGCTGGATAAAAATTAGAATTATTAGTTTCTATTTGAGAGGGGATCTGGGTGAGGATAGAGAGGTTTGATATCATAGTATGACTAAGAATTCTTATGGATGGAAACCACTTTTAAAGATTATTAAGGGAGTAACATAATAAAGTTAAAAAAAAGATTATTAAGGGAGAACAAGGGAAAGAATTTATTATGTCTTCTTCCTTCAAAATAGCTTTAATGATAGAACTTGTTCTAAGCTACAAATATTGAAAAACATATTTTAAAAGGTCTATATCTCTTTTAATGATCAGTCATTAATTTCTATGACTTACTGAGTTATTTAAAAATGTATGAAGTTTAAGTATTTACCCTTCTTGCTTTGTTTCTCCTACATGTTCAAAGTAGTACATTCTATAAACTTAACCTCTGTAAAAGAAATTTAACAATATTAGAAGGCTCATCAAAGCCAGGTGACAATTAAGCGGAGTACAATAGTATTTTTTTCAATCTTTGTCTTCACATTATGTTTGGTAATAGATAGACCTTCTTTCTTATATGCTTGTAGGTATACTCTTAGGTCATAGGAACATATGGGTTCTTAGAATTGTACCCCAAATACCACCATGTTGATACCATTGTCAAAGAATTTGGCTGGTAGAATAAACTAAAGTAAGCCAAAGTTGCATTGACAATAATGAAGAACCGCAATTAATGAACATAGTGTTTTTGTATTCTATCTTCCATTTTCTGGAATCTCCTATTTCCCTGGAATTCTGTGCTTTACTAGAAAGTTTAAATGGCTAAGATTTCCCCTTTACCCATTGTATTAGCTTCCTATGGCTGCTATAATAAATTACCAGAAAATTAGTGGCTTAAAACAGCATAATTTCTTCTTTTGTAACTCTGTAGGTCAGAAGGCCAAAATTAAGTCTTACAGGCTTAAAGTCAAGGTGTCAAAGGTGTCAGCAGGATTGGTTTCTTTTCTTTTCTTTTTTTTAAGAATTTATTTTTAAGTAATCTCTACGCCCAGAATAGGGCTCAAACTTACATCCCTGAGATCAAGAGTTGCATTCTGTACCGACTGAGCCAGCCAGGTGCTCTGGGAGTAGTTTCTTCTGAACACTAAGGGAGAATCTATTTCCTGCCTTTTCTTGCTTCTAAAGGCTTCTTGCTCTCCTTGGCTCATGACCCATTACTCACATCTCTCCATCCTCCTGCTTCCACCATCACATATCTTTGGACTGACTTTAGTCCCTCTGCTCTCTCTTATAGGGACTCGGATTACATTTGACCTGCTGAGGTAATCCAGGTTATTCTCTCCATCTCAGTCCTTAATTTAATCTCATGGGCAAAGTCCCTTTTGCCATATAAACAGCATATTCAAGTTCTAAGGATTAGATTGTGGATATCTTAGGTTGCCCAGGGGTGGGGGATGCGGGTGGAGGAGGACCATATTCAACCTTATTGACTTACCTATTTTTATATTATTGCATTATATTTTTGTATATTTTTTATCACAAGGTATTATAACAAACTGTATTGTTTTAAAATCATTCAGTTTTTATAGGAAACAAACTGAAGGTTGCTGGAAGGGAGGTGGTGGGGGGATGGGGTAACTGGGTGATGGACATTAAGGAGGACACTTGATGGAATGAGCACTGAGTGTTATATGCAACTGATGAATCACTAAATTCTACCTCTGAAACTAACAATACACTATATGTTAATTAAATTGAATTTAAATAAAATAAAATCACTCAGTTTATATAATGGACATTGTCTTTTTTTTTAAAGATTTTATTTATTTATATTTATTTATCTCTCTCTCTCTTTCTTTCTTTCTTTCTCTTCCTTGATTTTTAAAAATTGAAGTATAGGGGCGTCTGAATGGCTCAGTCAATTAAGTGTCTGCCTTCGGCTCAGGTTATGATCCCACATCGGGCTCTCTGCTCAGTGGGGCACCTGCTTCTCCCTCTGCCCCTCACCCTGCTCATGCTTTCTCTCTCTCTCTCTCAAATAAATCAATAAAATCTTAAAAAAAATACTGGTTATTTCTTGTATTTTTTATAATTGGAGTTCTAACAGGTATGAGGTGATATCTCAATGTGGTTTTAATTTACATTTCCCTGATGATTAGTGATGTTGAACATCCTCCCTTGTGCCTGTTGGCCAGTGATATGTCTTCTTTGGGAAAATGTCTATTCAGATCTTCTGCCCATCTTTTAATCAGATTTTTTTTTCTTTTGAGTAGTACAAGTTCTTTATATATTTTAGATATTAACCTCTTATCCGATATATGATTTGCAAATATTTTCTCCCATTCCATATGTTGCCTTTGTTGATGGTTTATCGTTACCTTTTAAATGAAGTTCTTTTATGTTTAATTTAGTCAGACTTAGTTTCTGTTGCTTTCACAAACAACATTTCATTAATACAGGGTTCTTTTTTATGATTTTGAAATGACTGACTGTAGTCCAGGTGTCTTATAACTATGTATCATTGATTCACTGTAAAAAAAATAATATCAGTAAGAGGGAGAGCATTTATCAGTCCAAGCTCTTACTCCCCTTAATGGTAGCTGTGAGATACACATTGCCTTTTAGGCAATATCAAGGAACGATTTATGTTTCCATTAGGTATTGAGTTTATTTTTTAATTGATATGATCAAATATGGACTTAAGTCTCAAATAACCAAATATTTAATCAACTGGCATTCCTTAGCCTTTAACCACAAGACAAATCAGAAAGTATTAAATAGTTTTATTTGCCACAGGCTGATTTTCCTAATTCAGAAAGCTGGGGTATTACAGCAAATTTTGAAAGACACAACACATTCCTGCGACAGTGTTTGCGTTTAGCCCCTTCGGTGAGCAATATTCTACCCATAACACCCAATGAATGTCTGCCATGTGCCAGCCTCTGTATGAGGTGCTGGGTACAAAGATGAATAAAGTTCCTGGCTCCTCATGCAATGGCTGGCAGTGGCAAGAGACACTCAGTGAATGCTTTGGGGATTAATGACATAATCCCTGCCTCTAAGGAGCTCTGTCCTGTGGGAAAGACAGACACCTAACTGTGACATCCCATGCTATGTCAGTGCCCAAAATAGTGAATTTGAGTGAGCGTGAGTGTGGAGAAGACTGCTGGCATGTTTCAGATGCCTTCGTGAGTTCTTATCATGGTGTTGAGGTCACGCTGTCCTGTCCAATGACACCTCTGGCTCTCTCAGAGTTGTTATGCAGGCTCTCTTTCCAGGCCCTCATAGTTAAGCTGGTGACACTGTGTTTGAACTCCTATTAATAGGCCCAGTCAGCTCCTCGGCAGATTGCGTCTTAACATCAAACAGCCAGAATCCCCAACAATGACTTCTTGGCGCAAAGCCAATCCTCAAGCATCAAAGCCATATTCCTTGCAAATCACCTCCATGTGATGATAAATAATGGCATCGGGATTCCAAACCAATTATCCCCTGGTGAAAGGCATATTCCTCAAGGGCACGTTGGGCTTTATTTAAAAAACAGTAACATTGCTGGTGCTAGGCCTGAAATGTCAACAATGGACACAACAAACTGATGAGAGCAATAACCAGTAAAATGTGTATAATTCACGTCCCTCACATTACACCAACCTGGAAAAATTCAAGAAAATGTGTGTTGGGACACATTTTAAAAGTTTCCGGCTTGAAACCCACCAGGAAAACCACCGAACCTTGTCTTGTCTGAAACTGTGTAATGGAGTAGAAGCATGTGCACTTAAATTCAGATCTCAGTGAGGGTGTGAGCTCTGTGATCTTTGGGAAATCATTCTCTAAGCTTCCATATCTGTAAAATGAGGGCTATTAAGACTCACCTTAAATCTGTTTTATGAATAGTAATAGCACATCAAGAGTCCGATAAATGGTAGACACAACTGTTAATGAGGGCTACTATGTTAAGCATCATGCTAAGCACTTTATAAGCATTATTTTAGTCCTCATATCAACTCAGTGAAGTAGGTATTTTAGCCCCCAATAAGAGATGAATGAATGGAGATGCAGATTAATCCCCAACCACCTAGACAGTGAAAGAAAAGAGTGGATTCAGACTGAGGCTGGCTGACTGCTATGATGCTCCTCCCTGGCAGCCTTAGGATCTTCCTCTTTGCTGTGTCTCTCCTCTCTACTGCTCCCATGACTCCCAGTGTCTCCACTGACCTCACCAGGACAAGACAGTCATCATTGCTGCGTTCACTGGATTCATCAGACAATCTGCGTTGTGAGCCAAATTCTCATGGTAGATATGCAACAAAGGACTTCCTTAGGGATTCTCACTGAGGTAGCTCAGTTTGAACCAAAATATTATTTTTGATCCAAGCAATACAGTACTCCTCAATCATGAGCAACTAAGCCATTAACTAAAGCATATTGGAAAAAACACTGGCTTTGGAGGGTCTGAAAACTTGTTAAGTCTCTGATCAGGGATTATGAGCCGTGTAAATTTAATCAGGCTCTTAATCTCTCTGAGCCTGTTTTATTCTGAGTTAATGTATGTGGCTGGTTATTCTCCATTTTTTCCCCCAGATGCACTTGCCGCCCCTTGTCTGCCTTTTCTGTGCCCAAAGGATTTGCTGTCTCCTAAGAACTGCATTGCCAGGACCCCCTTGCCATCTGGCTTATGATTGGCTTTAGCAGTAGATCAGAAGGTGGGAGGAAAGAAGCAGCAAGATAATTCTGCCTTCATTCACTCTTTCCATTCCACATCTTTGGCAGCAGCTGGGTGACCCCTCTTCTTTGGCTTTGACTTTTCGTGGAGTTCTGATAACACTGTTTCCACCCGTTAGCCCTTAGGTTCTAGGAGAAGTAATGTCTTCTTACTCTTGCGAGTCTGGCTGCCTCGACATCCTTTGCTCTTGTGTACAACCTGTGTACAACCTCTGTAAGTAGTCTCTTCATTAAAAATTTCCCTATTGAGCCTTCTGAGTACCTTCTATTTCTTGCTTGGAACCTGATGGGTACAGTAAGCAAAAAGTTTTGAAAACTATAATGCATTATCCTTAAAGACATAGGTCATCAAATTAGTGTTATTATTATTTGGTCATATTTTCACCATCAATACTATATTCTGAAGTTGGCAAAACTTTCCTGGTTTATCTAAATATTGTACCAGCTCAGAAATTAGAAAATGAGAAGTCAGATCAAGGTTATATTGAATAAGGTGCACTTGGATGTGGTTTGCTTCCCCTTTATAAATTAGGAAATGGTCCAAAGGCTGAATAGTTAACAGAATGGAAGGATTTCCAATCATATTAAACTCTCTATCCTCAAGGAATGGGTGCCTAAATGTGAAATAGGTAGATATTGTTTTTGGAAATATGTTTGTGTGTATGTGTCTCTCTACACACACATGTATACATATATGCATTTTTTAATGGAGAAACTATAGCTGTTGCTCCCACATACAGGTATTACAATGACTCATTTTATTTTTGCTATAAGGATCTCATTTTGGAGGTGGGAGTCTATATTCATGACAAAATGTATTTGAACATTAACAATTTTACATAACAAGGTAGGCCTATTCATAATTCCTTTTTAAAAATAATGTTTCTTAAGGACTCCTGGGTGGCACAGTCAGTTAAGCATCTGACTCTTGATTTCAGCCCAGGTCATAATCTCAGGGTCCTGGGATTGAGTCCCACGTTGGGCTCAGCACTCAGCGCAGGGTTTGCTTGAGATTCTCTCTCCCTCTCTCTCTGCCCCTCTTGATCATGCTCTCTCTCTCTCTCTCTTTCAAATAAATAAATAAATCTTTAAAATAATGCTTTTTATAAGAATACAATTTTTTCTCAATACATTAAGAAAAATCATGCTTATTGCATATATATCCAAACTGCTTTTGTGACCCGAGGCGTAAACTTCTGAAAAAACAAAATCAATTCTCATTTTTGCCATTTTCAGCAAATTTCTTTTTCAAGGTGCAAAAATTATTTCTATTACAGTTTCCAATCTATTTATGTGGGTAGGTATATTAAAATTCTTTGGTCACAAGCAACAGAAGTCAACTCAGGCATATTTAAGTAAAAGGAATTTTACTGGAAGGATATATGGGGGAAGTTCAGTTAAGCTTCGGGATCCAGATGGCAGGAGTGAATGGACCACTTCTTCAGGGCTCCACCATCAGAAAGTCTTGGCTATAAATGTTTTCTGACCTTGAGTCACCCTGCTCAGGATTCAAATCCCAGGAGAATCAGCCTCACCTGGCTTAGGTCCCAGGCACACTGCTTGGCCAAGGAAGTTGGGTCACTTGATTGGCAGTCTGGCATGTGGAATAAAGTGGGGTTGTTTGCCAAAGGAAAAGTGGGGTGCTAGAACCAGAAGAAGGGGGGAAGAGACTCTAGGTCAGCAGAAAGAACAGATTCTACGATAAAAGTCTTCAGAGCATTTTATGACGTATTAAGGTATTGGATATAGCACCTTCTCTTTCTTAAAATAATTGCCATAATTTGGACATTGGGACATTAAGAATATTACATGAACCTAGGGTTCCTATAAGGAGGCATTAAGATGTGGTTCTTAAAAATTCTTGTAGAAACTACAATTTCTTCGCCCAGACCTGCCCCCCCACCACCGCCCCCGAGAAGTATGCAGTTGGGAACAGCTTGCTTGACACCTTGCCCCTTGATTCAGTTAATACATCTTGGTTGAGGAGCAGGAAAGTATTCCTTGTCACAGGGAAGATGAGATACTATTGGCAACAGCAAAGGCTGTTACCCTTTCTCCATCCCTCCTAACTAGCAATGGTTTGGAGTTCGGGAGATTTTTGGTTGACAAAACAAACATGAAATAAGTCTTTAAAGAGTAGTTATAAACTTTAGGGTACATAGGCTACCCAGATGCATGTGTTTTCCCGATCTACTCCTCCGTGAAATTCTGGGATGACTATAAAGTATTTGCCCATGACGGCAC